TTTTAAGTTACTAATTTGTAGTAAATTTTACTAAAAATCGTTAACTAGCATGCACATTTTCCAATTGAATCAAAATATGATCTTGGTCTGATATTAATTTCCCTTATACACGTCAGCAACACAATGAAGAGGTTAGGATCCTGGGCTCTTGAACAAGAGAGTCAGGTTTGCATCCTGGTCTACTCACAGTAGATAAGCTACTTAATTGTCCTGTGCCTCAGTTTCTTCATTTGTAAAATGAGACCAACAATAGCACCTACGTGTGAGTACACGACAAGCACTGGGAACAACACCTGGTGCACGGTAAGCACTCAGTAAATTTAGTTATTATTGTTGGCTCTTATGTATTTCTGACCTATTTTCATCCAGTAAGTTGTCTGTTCCTTTGCCAAGACCAGGCTTTTTTTTTTTTTTTTTTTTGCTGAGGAAAATTTGCCCTGAGCTAACAAATGTGTCAGTCTTCCTCTATTTTGTATGTGGGTCGCTACCACAGCATGGCTGCTGATGAGTGGCATAGGTCTGCACCTGGGAACTGAACCCCGGCCGCTGAAGCAGAGCATACCAAACTTAACCACTGGGCCACCGGGCTGGCCCCTATACCATACTATTTTGGTGGGACGGAAAGGTGCAGCTCACTATTGTTCTTCATAATTTTTCGTGGCTTTGTTTCCTAAACTTAATTCTCCGTATAAAACATAAAACCATTTCATCCAGTTTCATGAAAGAAAAAACAAACAGCATTGATTTCAACATATGGTGTTGGAACAAACTGGATAGTCATATGTAAAAATACAAAACTTAACCTTCATCTCACACCTCATACAAACATGAACACAAATGGGTCATTGAGCTAAAGACAAAAGCTGTAACTATCAAACCTCCAGAAGAAAATATAGGAAAATCCCTTCCTGATCTTGGAGTAGGCAAAGATTTCTCAGATGGGACACAAAAACATAAGTCACACAAGAAGATATTGACACATTTTATGTGGTAGGCGCTTGTGATTTGCCACCCAGACTCGTCCTCTGAAATAAAGGCTTTATGACCCCAGCTGCTAGAATTGTCTTCGGCAGGTAGCTCTCAGCCCCCACCGACAGCCATGGGGTCCTACAGTCAATGGAGGCATAACGTGGGGACTGCCCAGTCCCGCTCCTTACTTTTCACATCGTAAAAGGCACTCCTCACAGACCTACTGCACTCAAATTTCCATCTCAGATTTGGCTTCCTGGGAATCTCCATCTGAGACATTGGGCTTCATTAAATTTAAACTATTCTGTTCTTTGGTAGACACTGTTAAGAAAATGAAAAGGCAAGCCATAGATGGGAGAATATATTTGCAATACATATAGCCACCAAAGGACTTGTATCCATAATATATAAAGAACTCTTACAACTCAATAATAGAAAGTCAACTCAAAAGTAAAATAGTAAAATTTTTGAAAAGGTCTTTCACAAAAGGATTTATAGGTATGGTCAGTAAACACATAAAAACCCAATAAGGATGGGGAGTATATAAGGTGAGCATGGAACATCTTGTGGAGCAAGAAAGTATGGTGGTGCTCAAAAATAAAACAAAAAGCCACAATGATGAGGGTATGTCAAAAGGATGCAAGAGCCAACTGAAGAGCTCCCAGTGGCCAGAGCTGGAACCTTTGAGTAACAAAATAATTAATGCAGTATTGGATTATAACCCAAAGAATAAAATAAATATCCAGGAGTCCATACCAAGATAAATAAATGATTGAATAAATGATACCTGAGGGAGAAGAGACAAATCTCCCTACAGAAGAATTTCAAGTAATTTACACAGACACTCCCCTGCCCCGAGGAAACGAAGCTCAAATCTCATCTCCTTAAGTGTAGGCTGTGCACCGTGACTTCTTCCCAAAGAGGACAGCGTGAAAAGGGGGAAAAGAGTAACTTCTCAGTGGAGAAACCTGACAGACAGACACGACCTCAGCCAGGCGGTCACGGGTCAACACCAGCAGTGATGAGCCATGTTGATAGCATGCCCCTTGATACTATGTGATGAGAAGGGCAGTTTGCTTTTGTGGTCTTCATCCCCAAAATACATAACCCCAGTCTAAGCATGAGAAAAACATTAGCCAAATCCCCACAGAAGACATCCTTCAACACACTTGACCAGTACTCCTCAAAATTGTCAAAGTCATCAAAAACAGAGAAAGCATGAGCAACTAACAGCCAGGTGGGTCCACAGCTAACTGTGTGTGGTATCCTGGATGGGATTCTTGAATTTGAAAAGTACATAAGGTAAAAACTAAGGAAATCTGAATCAAATATGGACTTCAGCTAATAACAGTGTATCAATATTGATCCATTAATTGTGATGAATGTACCATACTAATACAAGATGTCAGTAACAGAGGAAACTGAGTGTGAGGTATATGAGAACACCGCACTATCTTCACAATTTTTCTGTAGGGTTAAATTATTCTAAAACAGAAATATTTACTTAAAAAAAAACCCCATGTCATTTGTCATCAAGGAAATGCAAATTAGAGCTACAATGGGATACCACTCCACAGACACCAGAATAGCTAAAAGTAAGAGATTGACAATACAAAGTGCTGACAAGGATGTGGAACAACTGGAACCCTCATACACTGCTGGAGGGAATATAAAATGGTACCACTACTTTGGAAAATAGTTTGATGGTTTTTATAAAGTGAAACAAAGGCTTGACATTTAATCCAGAAATTCTATTTCTAGGTATTTACCTGAGTAAAATGAAAGCATATCTCCACTCAAAGACTTGTGTATAAATGTTCATAGCAGCTTTATTCATAATATCCCCAAACTGGAAACACGCATGTGTCTATCCATTAGTGAATGGATAGACACACTGTGGTATACTCATGTGATGGAATACTACTAACTAATAACTACTAGTGAGGAATGGATTCCCACACATCCTACAACACGGATGATCTGTAAAGCATTATGGTGAGCAAAAGAAACCAGACGTAAAAGAGCACATACTGCGTGATTCCATTTCTATGATATTCCAGAAAAGGCAAAAACAATCTGCAGAGATAGAAAACAACCAGCGGTTGCCTGGGCCTGGTCGGGGCACTGACTGCAAAGGAGCCTGCGGGAACTGTCTGAGGTGATGAAAGCGTCCCATATCTTAATTGTGCTGGTGGTCACCCAAGTGGATGCACTTAAAATGGATGTGTTTTATTGTGTGTAAATTATACCTCAATAAAGTTGATTGTTAAAAAGAGTAAAGAAAGAAAAAATAACTTTGAGAGTCTTAGTGGAATTGCAATATTTATACACTAATTTTAGGAGATTTCCTAAACAACACTATGGTTCCAATCCTGCGTCCTGGCGTGTCTCTATGCTCTCTTCCCAGACCGTTGTTTTCATTCCCATCGCTTTAAATGCCAATGACAGCCCTCTTCTCTGAGCTCCAGACCCCAAATGGCCACTTGACATTCTCACACTTAGTGGCTTAAAAGCTCCTTTAAGCCAACGTGTGCAAACCAAGCTCCTAACACTCCGCTGGGGCAGGGTCCCAGCACCTCTTCTGTCTTAACAAAGGGCAGCACTGCAGCCTCCCCCGAAGGGCGTGTGCGGCCCTCATGGCTTTGCTTCTATCCCTGTCTGGTTCTCTCACGCTGGGGCGTTGCCTTCTGCACCGCCTGCAGCCTGGTCTAATCAGACAGAGTCCCTCAGGAGGCGCCTCTCCCCGTTTCATCCGGGCACCCTCGGTTTGCTCTCTGTTTCACGGCCAGGCGGATATTTTATCATAGCACCTCCCTTTGCCTGAAAACCTCCCATGGTTTTCCATCGCCTTAGAACAAGACCAGAAGCTGTGGTGGTCTCCCCATCTCATCACCAGGACCCCCTCAGTATGGCCCCACCTCCTCTGCATTCCTGGTGTGGCCGGCTCCCTTCCACCTCCACCTAGGCAGGGCTCATCCCTTCCCGCTTCCCCTCCCTGCCCCTCCCAGCCTGGTTCACTCTACTAATCCTACCGATTTCAGCCCAAATGCCCCCCTCCCAGACCTAATCAAATGCTCCTGTTGGTCTCTCTCCTGGCAGGCACCTCCCTTCTCGGCCCTTGACCCAGCTGTAATGGTGCATGTTCTCTGCAGTGATTAGATCAATCAAGCAAGCAAGCATGTGCGTCTACAAACGTGTCGTCAGGCAGGGCCCATTTGGCAGGCAGAACACGTTAGCCCAACAGACTCCTTCCAGGTCAAGCGAGGCCCGCCCCATCCCGGCTCCACCCATCCTCCGCTTCCGCCCAGCCCAGATATGTGCCAGGGTGACTCCGACAGTTTTAAAGAGGGGCCTGGGGTGGCAAGGAGCAGTGGGCTTCCTGAAGGGCTCTTAGGAGCACCCAACCTGCCTGGGGAGGCACGTCTGAAGGCTGAGATCGGAGCCACAGTGGTGACGCGGGGACGCCTCCAGACCCCCAGCCCCTCAGTCCTGTCTTCCTGGGAGGGTCTCCTGGCAGTGGCCCCGAACCTCTGGGCTTCCAGAGCCAGCTGCAAAGAAGTCGACAGCAGGGCGAGCAGGTATCAGTCTGGGTGTCCCTGGGGAGGGGTAGCTTTTGTATTGTCCACGTGGGACAGAATCTCCAGTGCCCTTGAGGGGAAGGGCCAGGGACAATCCCCTGAACCCCGCCCTTCCCACTTCTGCTCCCCAACTTCCTTCTCTCTTCCCCGCCTTCTTGCCCCTCCCCTCTAGGAGGGGTAATTCCTTCATTTGGCCAAAGTTAATCTTACTTCTCCCACCTTTGCCTGGAGGATTTCGGATACATTAGTGAGCTCCCCTCTGGGCCAATCCCTCCTGGCTCTTCCTGGAAACGGTTTAACATGTGGCAGTCTCCCCAAAGCCCAATCTCCCTCCCTCCACACCGCGTGTCCCCCTGAGCTGCCAGCGAGCGAGCGTGCTGCTGGGCTGGGCAGCAGGTTCTGAAGGCACGGTGGGTGCCAGGCGGCGGGGTTCTGAAGGCACGGTGGGTGCCGGGCATCTGGGTTCTGAAGGCAACGTGGGTGCTGGGCGGCAGGGTTCGGAAGGCACGGTGGGTGCTGGGCGGCAGGGTTCTGAAGGCACGGTGGTGCCGGGGAAGGGCAGTTGGGGCTCGTGCTGGGAGCCGGGGTGTGGTCTGAGCCCCGACTACTTGGTGGCTTCTCTCTGGCAGATCCCACATGGAGGAGCAGAGGCCTCCCAAACGCCTGCGCACCGGGGCTCCTGATCCAGGTACTGTCAAACGCCTCTCACTTCCCATTTGATCTTTTCCTGGTTTTCCCTGTACTTTTGGTATTGACATAGTTATACAACTTACAGATTCAAATAAGGCCGGTTATGAGAAACACAGCCCCTGCTCCTTCTGAGTTTCCCATACGTTAGACACAGCCATTTTCATCTGTCAAAACGGTTCTTTCAGCATTTACTTCCTGTTCTCTGAAATCAATGCTTACAGTACTCCCAACTTTTTTACCCTTTTGGCCTTTTGTTCGGTCTTCTCTCTCCCGTAGGAGAGTATTCGGTTCCAGCTCCCACGTTCCCACCACCGTCACCGCGCTGTCCGCACACACGCCCTGCCCCCGACTCACACGCCTCCCGCCCCTTCTCCCAGCAGAGCCGGCTTTCCGGAACCAAGCCATCTGGGACACCAAGGTTACTTTCCCCTCTTGCATAACTTCGGAATTTTCCAGGACTTGATACTTGGCCTATTATTTGCTTATTGACCACTAATTCATTCTCAACTCTTCCCCAATTGTTTAAATTCAAACACAGTCAAGTCCTCTGTCAATTTCGTCTTCTTGGGGCGTTGCTGTCACAGCCTCTCAAGGGGCCCAGCTAGCCTGGCTGCTCTGAGCTGCTCCTAGCTGTCACCCTGGGATGCACCTTCACCATCGTGTGGGAACACCTTTCTCCTTTGGAATGTTATCTCCTGTGTTCTCTCTCTGGTGTCTTTCTCTTTCTTGGTTTATTCTTTCTCTTTGGTGGAGCAAGTCCTCCATCAGCCTCCTGAAAAAACATGCATCCAAAAGAAATTATTTGAGACTTTGCAGGTAAAATACCTTCCCTCCACCTGCCTTGATTCAGGAGTGATTGTTTGAAGACACCTTTCTATTGTCTTCTAGATTCTAGTATTGTTTTTGATATGTCTGATTTTTCTTTTTCTTTTTTTTTTTGGTGAGGAAGATTCACCCTCAGCTAACATTGTGCCCATCTTCCTCTGTATGTGGGACGCTGTCACAGTGTGGCCTGATGAGTGGTCTGTAGGTTCACGCCTGGGATCCGAACCTGTGAACTCAGGCCTCTGAAGCAGAGTGTGCGAGCTTAACTGCTCTGCCACCAGGCCAGCCCCGACATGTCTGAGTTTTTGGACATTCTGATTTCCGAGCCTTTTCATGTGACCTTGTTCTCTCTCTCTCTCCGGGAGCCTGTAAGGTCTTCTCTTTTTCTGCCGTGCTCTGAAAGTTGATGATAACAGGCTTTGGTGATCCTGTGCCTCTAACTTTCTGATATTTTATCCCTCTTATTTTTCATCATTTCGAGTTTTTGTCCTCTTTTCTGAGAGATTTTCTCAGCTTTATCTTCCAAAACTTCCATGGAGATTTTCATTTCTGCTCTCATAATTTTGATTTCAAAGAGCTGTTTTTTTCTGAATGCTCCTTTTAAAAAGTACCCAGTAATGGATTCCTGGGTACCATTTCTTCTCTTCTCTCTCTGAGGAGATTAGCGGTAGATTGTCTGAAAGACTCCTCTGTGGTGTACATTGTTTCCTCCCATTGCTTTTTCCTGTTTGATTGTCCCATGTGTTCGTCTTTCCTCTGATGGTGGCTGACCCCTTTGGCTGCCCATATTGAGAAAAGGACCCTGAAGAAGTGAAGAGTAGCCCTCAGCCTCTGGGTGGGCTTGTTCCCTGGGGTTCCACAGGACGTACATGGCTGGGCTCTCCAGCGGGGAACCCCAAGTGTCGGTTTCTCAGGACGTTTCTCTTAGGCTGCACAGGCCTCCCAGGGGAGACCCCTCAGATGGTCTTCAACACCAGCTCTGCCGCCAGTCAGGTTTCCACAGGTGTGCGTCTAGTGTGGGCTGTCTGTCATGTCTGCTGCTCAGTTATTCTCTCTGTTCAAACACCACACTGTCCTCATTGCTACAGCGGCACGCTTCTTCGTGATCTACGATAAAAGTACCCCCACCTTGTTCTTTTTCTGGAAGGCATTAAAATTTGATAGGTACTGTCAAATTGTTTGCCAAAACATTTCCCTCCATACATCGAGTGTCCTAAATCTTTTGATCTTTGTTGGTTTGACAGATGCCTAACAATGTCCCAATCTTTTCTTTAATTTGAATTGCTTTTTATATGTGAGGTTTAGCGTCTTATATGCAGATGGACCATTCACTTTTCTTCTTTTACAGATCGCCTGTGATTGCTCTTTGCTATTCTGTTCTATTTGGTTGTTTCTCTCATTGACTTTTAAGTGTTGTTTGCATTTCTGGGGTTTGTCAATTCAGACTTTCTTCAATTTAGGATCTCTCAACTCTCCCCCCAAGTCTGCTGCTGCGGGGGCCGCATTAGGTCAAGAAAGGGGAAGGTGGTGTATTACTGTCATGTGATTGGAAAGCGTGCTCTGCTCCTTGGTCCGTGAAGCCACCCCTTGCTTCTCTTTGCGCCCGTGTCTGGTCATCAGTCCGTGCAGGTCACTCTGAGCCCTCTAGGTCGTCCCTGCAGGGCCTGCCAGCCTGCCAGCTCTCCCGCAGCCCACTGAGGCCAGTCTTGGATCTCCTGGAGCCAAAGTGAGCTCTGAGCTGGAGCCTGGACAGCAGATGTACACGACTCTGAGGGGCCCCGCAGGCCTCTGAGGACTTGAACAAAGCACAGACTTTGCCTGTCCTGGAAGGCACACGGCTCGGATATTTGATGCTCAAAACCCCCAAACTTAGACCTTTTCATTATCTTTGTCCTCCATTCCCAAACTCTCCTTGCCCAAATATGGGCAATGACTAGTGTCCCTTCCTTTCTGGTTTGTCGCCTGAGTACGGAGAATGCAGAGTCACGGAGCCCCTGACAGGACTGTCAGTGCGTGGCAGAGCGTGATGCCCGCAGGGGCCTGCGGTGGGCGTGCCGCTCTCTCAGCCCTCACCTCCTGCTGCTGCCTGCTGCTGCTCGGCCCTCTTTGTGGGTGGATGTAAGGTGTTAGTGCGAGTTTGAGATTCCTAACCGAGAACTGGGAAAACAATTCGCCCATGAGAAGATCTGATCCTGGCTTACTGATTTTTTTCTTAATGATGATTGTGGAGGAAGAGAGCAGCTGTCAAAATGCTCTCCATTGGGTCCACTGTGGCGGGTCTGTTGGAGCTGCTATTTATTCCTGAGTCCATTTGTCCCAGTTCTGTCCCCCACAGGACTCCACCACCCCTTGGTACACGTCCACCCCTGCTGCACCTCCTCCCCACTGTCACTCTCGGGCCGTCTCCCCCACCACGGGCAGATGCTGTCTGCCCCGGCACCGCCCGTCTGCCCCGGCACCGCCCTGGAGCTGCTCTCGCCAGTTCCAGGAACAGCCTTGCCGTGACCCACCCGAGTGGCCTCTCCCAGGCCTGCCCTGTCACTTAGCCAGCACCTTTGGTGGCTCGCCCCTTCCAGATCTATTCTCTCCCCCTCAGATCCAGGCGTGCCCTCCTGACTTTCCTCTCTGTCAGTGGCCCTGGAAGGTACTTTTTCTCTCCCTTTCATTTAAAGGTAGGTAGAGGACCTTAGGGATCTGTCAGAGGCCTTCTCTGCTCCTCTATTCCCTTGGGCTGGTCTCGTCAGCCCCCATGGTGGTGAAGACCAACTGTGTAGCTGACCCTAACTCCACTCCAGCCCAGCCCCCCAAGAGCCCCAGACTCATCTGTTTCTCTCATCTTCACTCGGATAATGTACCCCTGATTGTCATTGGGCACAATACTGAACACTTGTGTGTTACCCAAACCGGCATCTTCTCCTTGAGCTCTACCTTGGCAAATGCTTCCTTCCCCTCCCGGTTGGGGCGGGAGGATGGCAACACTTCAGGGTGGTCAGGAGAGTGCCCTGCGGACAGATGGGCTTGGATGCTCTCTTTCCTCCATCACACCAGCCGGCTGCACCTCTGCGCCTTTCCCAGCTCCTTCAACCCCCTGGAGGAGGACTGCGGGCCTGCCCAGCACTCCTGCCTCCAGGCACATCCTCCCTTTCTCCGCCCTCCCATCCCCATCCTCCATCCTCCCGTCCTCCCCCGCCCTTGCTCTCCAAGTCTGCATGTGACTATGTTGCTCCCTTCCTCAAAATCTTTCAGCGCTCCCCTTTGGTCTTAGGATAAACTAAAACTTGGCTTGGCTTAAAGAGGTCTTGATGAGCTTCTCCTTCCCACTGTGCTGCCCTCCAGCTGGTCCAGGCTTCTTACAGTTCTGGAAGCCCTGCTGCCAGCCTCTCTGTCCCACCCAGAATCCTCTCCCTCCTACCCCGCCCCTGCCTTGCTAAATCCCATTCATCCCTGAGGTCCCGGTTTGCAGGTTTATGCTAACTCCTCCAGCCGGGCTCTCTGACCCAGCCCCCACCCAAGCCCTGTTAGGATGCTCACGTGAGTGGCACTAATCTAAGTTACTTGTAGTAACTCAGTCCTCCTAACTCCCCAGGGGTTGGTACTTTGCATCAATTCGTGACAAAGGCAATTGAAGCCCAGGTAAAGTGCCGGGCATTCTGGATTCAGAATGACCTCCCTCTGGTACCCTAACTCCCTCACTTCCTAACTTGTCACCCATTAGTGTCATTACAGCTTTTGTTTTGTTCTGTCTCTTCTGTTGAAGTTCAAGCTCAGTGAGGGCAGGGACTGTCATTTTTACTCAACTTGAATCTCTCTAGTGAACTCTAGACTCAGTCTACCCATCAGTGAAATGAGGAATGCAATGCCTAGCTGACCAGGTGGTTGTGAGGGCTGAATGAGACGACCGGTGGGAGAGCTGAGCCTGGAAAAGGCCCTCGGGCAGCCGGGTCTCCCCTGGGCCGCCCTACCTCTCCCCCGTTCTCCTGCCCCCAAAGCTTCCTGGACAGCCCCTGCTCTCCTCTGCTCACTGTCTGCGTCTCTATTTTGCCTAGGTGGGCACCGTCGGGAGCCAGGCCGCTCTGGTGTGGAAGGTGAAGACCCTGTGGAAGCACATGGCCCTGCAGAGCCAGGCCATCCCTCGAAACCCTTTGCCTACGTGAAACCCATGAGATGTGAGAGCCCAGCTTTCACAGAAGCTGCTCGTCTTGCAGAGAGAGGCCGAGGCCGCCACAGGGCCAGAAGCCCAAGGACAGAAAGAGGCCGCCGCAGGGTGGCAGGCCTCCCCCGGGGCCCCAGCCCCCAGGCGGGGCCAGGACACATGCTGGGGCCAGATTTGCATGCAGAGTTGGACCTTGGTGACGAGCCCACCCACCGCATGGAACTGGAAGCCAGGCAGTCCTGGTCCTTCCCCTTTACTGATGCAGTGACAGTGCACGTGCAGGGATGTGTGCTGTGGGGCCACAGCCCCCACACGGCCGTACTTGGCGTGAGACGCCAGGGGCAGCCCGACGCCTCTGGGTATTGGGCTCTCATGGGGTCCCCGGCCTCGGCCGTCTCTCCCCACATCGGGTTCAGGGCCTCGGCTGGCTCAGCTTTGTTCTTCATGCAGACGTCTTCTGGCACCTATGTGTATGGGGTCCCAACATTCTTCACCCACTTTGCACGCTGAGCCCCCTAATAACTTGCCGTCAGCTTCCGTTTCTCTGACCTGGGTGTTTGCTAAATACTCCTTTTTCTGCAGCCCAAACCTGAGTTCCCCCTCAGCCCCCACTCTCCTCTCCCACCGTGGTGGACCTCTAGGTCGTGTTGTCCAGCTGGGTCTGCGAGCCCCCTCCCAGGGTCCTGGCAGGTCCCACGCCCCGCTGCTCTCCCCATTTTGTGTTTTATCATTCATTTAGTCCCTCAGTGCTGGCTAAAACAAGTCAGCAGCGTCCCCCTGCCCTCCCTGTCTCAGCCCGTTCGGTCTGCGGTCACCAACTACCACACAACGGGTGGCGTGGAAACCACAGACATCGGGTCTCACAGTTCCGGAGGCTGGAAGGCCGAGACCACCGGCAGATTCGGTGTCTGCTGCCACCCCACTGCCTGGTTTATAGACCGCTGTCTGCTCACTGAGTCCTCACACAGCTGAGGAGGTGAGAGCTCTCTGGGGTCCGAGGGGTCCTTTCATAGGGGCACTAACCCCATTCATGAGGCTCCACTCTCATGACCTAAGCACCTTCTAAAGGCCCCTCCTCCATCACACTGGGGGTTAGAATTTCAACAGGAATTTTGGGGCACACAAACATTTAATCTGTAGCATCCGCCCACCACCATTTTTTCATTTTGGTGCATAACCACCAAATTTAAGAAAAGAGAACACAACGAAAGAGTGAAAAACGGAAAAAGTTACATCCAAGAAAATAGAACATTCAGAAAAAGACGCAAAGAGTGTGATTAACATCCTCAGAGAGAGAGGGGGTGATATGATGTCGCTGGCACAATAGCACGTACCTGCATGTGAAGCCAATTAAAGATGCTTGAGATGAAGAGTAAGGTTGTTGGAACAAAACGTGTTGTGATTTGAGTTGCAGAACGGGCAGGACTGAGGAACAAATCACTAAACTAGACGTGTGTGCAGAGGGAGCCCCCAGAATATGGCAAAAGAGGGGCGGGAAGTTTGAAAGTCCGCATGGAGCCCAGCTCCCAGTGGGATATCCGGCAGGAGTTCTGCCAGGAGGAACAGAACATTCGGATGAGCACAACAGAGGAAACAACCAACGTCCCCACATGAAGAAAGACATGAACCCTGAGCAGGATATGAGAATGACACACATTTGAATGAAGTGTGGTGGAGAGAAAATTCCCAAAACGACCTGAGAGATGAGCCCTACGCGGAAGCACAATTAGCCTGCCACAGACTTCTCTCGGCGGCATCAGTGAGTCCAAGGAAGCCGTGGGATGACATCCTCAAAGCCTGGAGAGTTAATAACCCTGAGTCTAGAATTCCATAACCAGTCAGAGATGCTCCTGTGCTCCAGACCAGGTGGTGCACGAACAGATGGTCCTGGAACTCCTGCAGCCATTTCACCAGCTCGGGGAGGAGGGGGTGGTCAGGTGGGAGTGGGGGTGGTGTAGGGAAAGAGGAGAAAAATAGCCTGAATCCTGATCAAACTCGACCTGAAACTTGAGTTGTGTTGAGTATTTTGTTACCTGCACAGTGAAAGCACAGGTGTTTCTCAGCCAGGAAAGAAAGGTCTCGGGAGGAAGAAGTGGATGCAAGGAGGATCAGTAAGCAAGGAAAGTAGAAAACTATTATTGAGTCTAAAGTGGGTTTCTGGAAGAAAGATGAATAACATGGAATTAAAACTCTGGAAGATGTTGACATAGTAATTTGGGGGGAAGGAGAGTTCAGAAGGAGCTAAATATTACTAAAATTCTTCTCTAGTTCCTGGAGATGTTACAGATGATGCATAGGAGGGAGCAATGGAGCTGTGGACATTTTTAAGTACGTGTCCCCATTGGTAACCACTAACTGAACTGAAATTGAATGTAAAGTTTCAGGTTAGGAAAAAGTGGATCAAAGAGAATTTGATGGATCAAACAAAAGGCATAGTGGGTTAATGAAACAAGGAGAAAGCGTGACACATTTAAGATGCTAAATAAGGAATAACTAACCTGATGGCAGCCTCCTTGTGGGTTCTGGCTTCAATGGGAATATTTTAAATGTGTTACCATTAAGTAGGGCGTTTCCTGTAGGTTTCTCATAGATATGCTCGATCAACTTGAGATCCTTGCCATTCTTCTCAGAATTTGATAAAAGGTTTATTACAAATTGGATTTTGTATTTTATTAAGTAAGCTTTGACTGGCTGATTTTAAGATTCATCTGTAAGAGAAAACGAAGAGAATTTTTCCATGAAAGATTTTTTCTTGTGTATTTCAACTATCCTCTTAAATAAACCCTTCTCTTTGGCTTTTATTGTAGTACAATTTTTTTATTGAAATTTTACAGCTTTCATCTTACCAATGTAAGATGAGTTTACTATAGCCAGAAAAAGAAACATACAAGAAGACAGAGAAAAATGTCCGATCTCTCTCCTCTCCCTTCCTATCGTTCTTTCCCCGTAATCATACAAGCCACTACAAACATATGTGTCCATTAAAGGTATTGTGTGTGCCTTGATTTTACAAAAATGGGGCACAGAACCCACCCAGGGTCTGAAGAAGTGACTGCAGGGCCAGTCAGCTCCCGTAAGTGTGGCAGGTGTGGGGACTGGCTCCTCGGTGAGGCCCATTCTCCGTCTGAAGTGGGCGGAGGTGACTTGGTTTGGAAGCAGTGCGCGGACCGCCACGAGCATGTCTGTGGTAGGAGCTGTTCGAGCCTTGCCATTGTGATGTCTCTTACTTGCCCTGCCAGCTGTCGAGCTGAGGCAGCTTCTGGTCAGCCGATGCCCCGCCCCCTCCCTGGTGGCTGGATATCTCCCTGCAAGATGCACACACCCAGTTTGTGCAGTGGTCCCCTGCTGATGAGCTGTTTCCAGGGTATTTCTACCACCAAAATGCTTCACTAAACATCGTACACGGAGCCTTAAGTATCGGTCCTTTTAAGTTTATAAAATAAATTCTCAAAGTGAGATTCTTCTGTCAGATGGTATGGCTATATTTTAATAGATATGAAGAAACTGCATTCAAATTAGGCTGTATCAACATCAATTCCACCAGCAGTGTACGAGGGCACCAATTTCCCCCACAGTCTTCCCAGCAATGAACGTCAGGACTCTATAATTTTTGCCAATCTCCTGAGTAAAAATATGTCATTATTGTTCTAATTTGAATTGTCTTGACTACTAAAAAGGTTTAGCACATTTTTATACATTCATTGGCCATTTTTACTTCTTTCTCTGTTAATAGCCAACAACTAGCCTTCGTACAATTTTCTATTGGGTTTTAAATCTTTTTCTTACCAATTTGTAGGAACTTCTTGTATATTAGAAATTGTGATAATTTTTCTTGCGTGTTGCAGACATTGTCCCCGTTCCAACAGTCCTCTCCGGAGGGTCGGACTTGCTGGGGCCGTCTTGTGCCTGCTGTGTGTCCAGCCTCAGCTCACAGCCCACCCTTCCACGTGCCCAGCCGTCGGGCTGCTCCTCCTGCAGGGGACTCTGCTCCCTCCCCAGGCCAGAGGGTCCATCCGACAGGGCGGGTGGCCCACCTTGCACAGTGTGGAAAACGTTTTCTGAGTCATTTCAAGGTCCCCCTCTGCCACTTCAGAGTCAGGTCAGAGTCCAGGGTGCTCCGGCCGCAGTGCCACAGTCCGCCCTCTTTTGAGTTATATTCACCCTTCTGGGAGACTTGCCAGCATCCAGGCCTCAGGAGGCTTTTTTCTTTTCCATTTTTATGTCCCTTCAATTTATTTTGTTTAATAATATGTATATTAGAGTGGTGACTAATTCATACTGAGACACATGTAGAACTTTTGTTAATGGGATGTTTATCCGCAGACTTGAAGACCACTGATCTCTCTATATGATATATGTGTCCTCACTTAGGAAGGAGAAATTTATTGCAACAATAAATTTACATCAAGGTATTGAAATCTCCTAGCCGCTCACTGTCACTGGAGGATATGCGTCTTCACACCTTCATGTTAAACAAGGAGTCACAAAGCCTGTCTCACACCTTAAGGTCACCTGAGGATTGCGACATCTTTCGGGTCCTGGAAGGACACTTGTGAGAAGACTGGCATCAGATGCTCTAAGGGACATCAGTAGCTGCTGGCCTTCTTGACCCACTGCTGTGGGGCCTCCTCATGTCACTGTGTCACCTGGTCTTCCTCCAGACCGTTCAGGGCTGCACAGGAGGACGCCGGTTTCCCTTGCGCCCCGTCCTCAGGCGGGCGGGGGACCCCACTCACACTTGCCTCAGGCCCCTGTGCCGAGACATTCCCGAGCCCATTTTAAGGCCACGCTCTGCTCACAGATGGCAGAGCTTCTAGCTTAGGGCTCACTTTTCCTGCTTTTCCCTCCCAGCTCCACCGACCTCTGGCTGTGGGGGGTAAGACCCACCCACATCCCACACCCTCACTGTCCTCCCCACTGTCTCCCTCCTCCGGCTCACAGGATCTCATCTTGTCCCCGGGCAGGGTCGGGAGAGGGGCCCAGAATGGCCATGGATTCTATGCCTCTTCTTTGTAGCAAAACTTTCTCCACAGAATGCTTTAGTGCACTGGATTTTGATAAACAAAAATTAGGATTTTAGGACTCAATGTTTTTTCTCGACTATGGATTTCAAGAGTGTATTTTGAAAGTTAAAAAAAATGTGCACACCCAAACAGCACAGAACCATTCCTTATTTTCAAATTTGGAACAGTGCAGCAACCCTGCTGCACTGACGCACTGTGAGGGCAGAATGCTGTTAACAGGTCCTGAATGTGGGGCCAACGACCGGGGTAACAATTAGGATCAGATTTAGTGACTCATAACACTCACTGAAACAAGTAACACTGTCTGAAACAGACCAGGAGCTTATTTATCTCACATGAAAGAAGCTTAGAGCTATGCAGACCAGATCCTATATGGCAGCTTCAGTTTAATCTTGCTGCTCCATTCTAGTGTCACCTCATAATCCAAAATGGCTGCTGGAGTGCCAGACATCATATCCTAGTTCCAAGAAGTAGGAAGTGGGAAAAAAACAAAAAAGCAACCTCTGAGTCAGCTCCCTTAATTCAGCCTTCTTGGAAGTCTAGCCCAAATTCTTTCTCTTATACCTCATTAGCCTGAATTTTGTTACATTATCACACCTGCTTGCTGCAGAGGAAAGGAAATGAAACCTTCTAGCTGAGGCCATGGTTATTCCAAATAATATCAGGGTCTGTCTTAAGGAAGAAGGGGAAAAGGGATAGGGGGTGGCAGATAGCAGTCCCCAATATAACAGAAAAATAAATTGCAGAGAAAATAAACATCTGTTAATACAGACGTAAAAAGCATCCCACCACAAACCATTTCGTCAGGTCCCCAAAATCGTTACTCATATTTTTAGTAGAAGTGGGTTTGTTGAGCTGTTTTTAAGAAAGTGCCCTTTTACGACATTGAGTCTTTCTGTCCGTAAGTGAGGTATCCAGAAGCGCACACCTCCACTGGCGCACGTGCGTAGAAATGTGGGCTGAATCATTTTTGGAGGGAGGGTTAGTTCTTCAACGGCTTCCTCAATTTTAGTGGGATTGCACACACTATGAGCGGTCGATTTGACTTTCTGTTTCTTCCTGCGTCGAGCCCGTGCGCGTGCCACGTCCCAGCCGTTGCCTTCCACCACCCGGTTGAGCGGTTCCCAGCCTCGGTGAGCCCCTGGAACCGCCTGGGGAGCTGGGAGGCAGGAAACGGTCACTGTGTTTTCAGTGGTCTCCGAGGTGCTGATTTAACTAGACGGGTATGTGGCCTGGGCAGGAGACTCACGTGTGGCCGAGGCTGAGAACCTCGGCTCTAGTTTAAAAATCCACTCCCGCGCCACGAGGAAGGAGGGAATCGTCGGGAAACAAGCAGTTGGGGACCAGAGAGGCAGAATTCGTCAATTCGTGTCCAGCACACCCAGGGCTTGGACGCCCTGGCCAACCAGGACAGTTTTCTGTGTCTGTGTTGGAAGTCCCTCTAACAGACCTGGGTGTGTGGGAGAAAAGATCACCTCGCGGTCAGGTCAATCCTCACCCTGCCACGCCACCCAGCTGCTTTTCACACTGCACCTGTTTCACTCGTAACTTTGTTCCAGAAAGAGAAGGGGTCCACGGACTGAAATAAACGTCCGAGGTGTGCGATCCTTGTGTTTCAAATCATAAATTAATAAATTGACATTTTAGTTAAAAGAAAAAAGCAGCGCACTCCTCGAGGCTCATATCTCAGCCTCCTGCACTCTCACCCCCTCACTCCCAGGCATCGCCCACTTCACCGTCCGCTCGCAAGCCCGCATCTCTCCCCTGTGGGCTGACTCGTCTCCACTTGCTCCTCCCAGGACCACCTCCTCCATCCGACACACGGCAAATCCTGCCAGCTCCAGGGCTCCACTCCAGGCTCCCGACACAGATCACGGATGCACTACCCTGAGGATCACCCGCGGGTCCTCTCGGGTCCTTGTGCGATGCGGCCCCTCGGCAGCCTCAGACACAGGGCCATTCCTGCTGCCTGGAGGGTTTTCCTTCTCGTGGAATCTGGAGCTCATCTTCCTCTGGTTTCTCTCTTATTTCTTTTTTGAAAATTGAAATATATTTGACATATAATATTGTGTAAATTTATGGTGTACAATATGTTGGTTTGAGACCTTCATCTATGGTGATATGACTGCCAGGGTGCCACTGTCAGCACCTCTATCATGTCACGTAATTATCCTTTCTTTTCAGTGGTTGGAATACTCCAGATCTAGTCTCTTAGCACGTTTGATGGTTGTAACACAGTCTCGTCTGTATTCACGACACCGTGCATTCGAGCTCCAGGACACATTTACTGCTCTCTGTGCATTTGTCCCCTTAAACAACACCTCTCCTGTCCTTCCCCCCCTGGGAACCGCCATTCTCCTCCCAGTTTTTTTGGGTTTGGCTTTTTCAGATTCCACATTTAAGTGGAATCATATAGGATTTGTCTTTGTCTGACTTCTTTCTCTTAGCATGATGCGTTCAAGGTCCATCCGTGTTGTTGCAAATGGCAGGATGTCTTTCTTTTTACGGCCAAACAATATTCCGTTGTACATATACACCACATTTTCTGTATCCATTCATCCATTTTATTCCTAAAGCAGCTGCTCTGCGTCTGCCTCGTAGCTCCTTCTCCGTCCAGGTTCCCCGTAGAGGTTGGTGTCCTTAGGATTCTACCCTGCTCTATTCTTCCCTCTAACTGCTCCCAGCCGCCCTTGGCAGCCTCCTCCATATACGTGGCTTCAGCTTCTCTCTCTGGAGATAGAACCAGGCACTGGCCCTGTGATGACACCCACG